TTTCAACCAAAGTCAGAGTTCCAGAATCATCACATCCCAGATAGTAGCCACTGCCACGTTGTTTGAACATCGTATAGCTCCAGAAGTATTCAGGCTCAAAGATGGATTCTTCTGCACCTTCTATTACCTTAATTGAAAATAGTTTTGAATTAAAAGCTTTGAATTACTTTTTCTCATGGTTAAATAACGCTCTTTTCCCTTGCCAATTTTCTTAGCCACAACCTTGGAAACAATTGCCATTTTCAGGCGATTTATTGAAGTCCGTTTCTTGGACAATTTTCTATTGAGTGTCAAAAGTAATCCGGAATTGCTCAAGGTTTGCTTTCGCTCTGTGATTGGTCCAAAAAAACTTGCGCCACTCTCTGAACCAACAGATGCAAAACTAAAATCATTACGATTTGGTCCTTCCGTTGCGATTCCCGGCTTTCAGCTCGTTTTTGTTTTAATTACGGCACTCAATCGAAGATTGCTTTAAGTCACCTTCGAGTTAGAAAGACAAGCTTTCCCTGTAGCACTTAGCGTTGGAGGAAAAGACATTTCAGTTGGAGAAATCAGTTATTTTAAAAGGACCCTGGAGAAAATATATAAATAGAACAATAAAAAGAATAAATTGATTATTAAAAATTTGAAAGCTATTGAATGAGAACGATTCTATGTGTATTAATTATTAGATAAAAAAGGTAAAGGAAATGGCGAATGAAGTAGAGAGAGGTGATAAGACAGAATCATGCCATTAGTTACCTTGGCTTCGACAGGCTTTCCTTTACCATCTCCGGTCAGTGTTAACGCTTTGTTTGCTCCATCTTTGAATTGCAGGGCAAATGAAGCCGTCTGACCATTTGTTTTATCAATGGTCTCCATAAGAGCTAAAAGGGACATAGAGTAGATGTAGTGTTAGATGATATTTCAATTCCTATGATAAGGGTCCAGGAAGCCGGTCATGTTAAACGAGTTCCTCAATCAACCAGCTGAAGTCATACCAGTTACCTGACTCACAAAAGTTTTGGCAATTTCTGGTAATTTTATCAACGTTCCCTGGGCGCTGCGATATCACTCATATTCGGAGGTTCAAATAAAATTGCTTATATTACTTAATTAGTAGACTGCTTGTTTAGGTTACAAAATTTGGTGAATTTTTCATCCACCTTAAATTTTGGACTGTTGGATGGGAGGCGTCATTTGGCATTTATGAGAGATAACAAAAAATTGATCCTTATTTTGATAAATGTTAGTATGCTAGGGTAATTTCTTCTCGCTGCTTTGTTATGGAAAACGCCTCTTGTTTCCATCTGCTATTACTATTGAGGTCAGTTGATGAAGGTTGTTTCTGCCTGAAGGTTAACATGAGCTACGCAATAGAAGTGTTAATGAGACTGAGAGGGAAGACGGTCATGATGAGATGAGGGGGAATGGGTAGGAACTGTAAAAAACACATACATTGACATTGCGAAGCTTTCATTTATACAGGGACATTTGGTTAGAAATTGCATACAGCCCACGTTATTCTTTAAATTAACTGAATGATATACGTACTGTCACCACAGGGGCTAAACGTTCCACTGCAAGTCACAATGTTAGTGCTTGAATTCCTCATTACAACACCCTCATTCTTTCTGCTAACGGGGCTCCACAGTCGATAAATGGTGTTCGGCTGGATGGGATGAGGCTTAATAGGTGACTGAAAAAAATCACATAAAAATTGATGGGTGAAATTTTGTAGATACCACTAACACTCGTGGATTGTTTTATTTGAGGCAAATTAGCGTTTGGCGTTTGAGGCGTTTATTTCTGGGTATTCTGAACCTCTCACTCGATCACTTACAATCTCATCGGAAGCGGAAAAATTTCATATATGAATAAATGAAAAACATGAGTGCGCAGATTATTTCTCCAGCACTTTACTATAGAAGAAGACTTTAGTTTTACCCGGCAGCAACAGAGCATGGAGTAAAATATCAGATTGCTTTTCCATTTGGTTTTTAATTTTTTCTTTCATTCTTTATCGAGCGTTGGTTCCGCAAGATACGCAACACTCACTGATTTCACGGATCGTTGTTACAATGTAACTTTCCTTGCAGTTTATAGACCTAATCTGTAGAGTGCCAAAATTCAAATTTGTTTATACTTTGCCGAATACTCACATCGAGGTATTACTTGTGTAACACACGCGCATGAGAGACTTATCATTACTCAAAAATAAGCTACTTTAAGTTAATTACTTAATAGAAATTGCTTCTTCAACCTGTCCTCTCTCTGGAATTCGAACTCGAAGTTTACTGCCATCTTTAAGCAGTTCGTTGCTCTGCAGATCCACATAGTCATCAAATTTTTCAACGTGAAGCTGAAACTTGACATCACTTGGCTCCACCTCGCGCGGTAACATATCGGCGAAGGCTTCAAGAAAACGAATGGTAAAGTCCTCGACAACTTCTCCTTTTGGACAGGAAATGATGTGCTTTGAATCCTTGTAGGTCACATGGATATCAACCTGATCGGCCATCTCTAGAATTTGGAAAATTCAGGAGGATATATCAGTACATCATGACGGTAATTCTGATACATGGTGTCTTCATTTGTCATATAGTAGATCAAATATTGTACTTTTACAGGGTCAAACTGCATGGTTCCTATGGTCATCACAAGTGATGTTGTTGTTGATGTTTTTACATTCCTCAAACGCCAATCAATTGTTCTAAATGATTCTAAACTGTTAACGTGTTGCGTGGCATGGTTTCTAAATCTTTATCTGCTAAGAACTAAATATTGTCCAGAATTTCTGCCATTATTTCCCTATAGTGACTCTGTTAGCTAAAAACGTGATGTTATATCAAATCCTATGCCATGCCAGCTTGTCCAGTGTACGCAATTTACTTCACAACCCGTCCGTTTGATACTGTGATATTGAAATTGTGTGAGGAAATAAGTTTATGGTGAGGCTGGCGGCTACAACGGAAACTGAATGCTTGTTGACCCTATGTTAGAAACGGAAATATCCATCACCAGACGAGGATTTTTCGAGGAAAGGTAAACATATGTCTACGAGGGTAAAACGGAGACACATAATTGTGTGTTAATTCAGTCTACTCAAAATCTGACCGTCTAAATTTTTGCCTTTTCCGTTTGAGTTTTACGCTCTAGCTCTATCAAAAAAGCAAAGTTTTCTTTGGATTTAACCTCAAAAGCAATTCTCTGAATTGTAAAGGATTCTTAATGTTGTGGTAAACTGTTCCTTAAAGATTAACTAAAGGCAATGCATGTTCACCTTCGCTTTGCCTAAATACTGTCGTCAGGCCTTAGACACCTAGAAACATCCAGATATGCTTGCGGTATTCAACTATACTAACCTGTAAATGTCAGTGTTACTCTGTCAGCCAGGTAAATTTTCCATTAAGCTGCATCGGGTAATAGTGGACGAACACACTGAATTCGAATCACACGCGACCTAGATAGATCTGTTGATAGCTCTTGGTGTTTTGCTAAAGGACTGAGCAAGGCTAAAACAAAATACCACGACTTTTTAAAGCCCAGAACTTACGATATTTTGAAAGAGATCTCAGAGATTGACGAATAGCAACTCACTTTCATCCGTTTGAGTCCTCTGCTGCCATAATTCGTCGATGGCGGAACTGAGAAGGTACATGCAGGAGAAGGTAACACGCGAATATCGTCACTTCATTGAACTGACTTCACTATTTCATGGCCGTTCAGGAGAAAGGGTTTCCGTAATTATACCATTCGTTTAAAAGGATCCGTATCTTTTCGTCTCTTAAAGTATTATGGGAGTCTTAAAATTTTACATTTTAATATTTTTGATTGATTGCGAAATTTCAAAATCAAACATCAAAAGGGCAATGCCGATAAAATGCTCTCTGAAATGACTAGATTATTCACTTGATTTCCTTTTAACTACTGGAGAAGTGAAATAAATGCTTCCCTTAGGTCATTAATTTTTGGACTGCTCAAAAATAAAGGTCTATTTACTTGCACAAAGAGGAAACATTGCTTTTGAAGAAAGAAGCCCTCACGCGAAAGTGAATGAAAATATGGAGTCGAACCCCCCCTTCCCCCTTCTCTTGCCCCTAAAAGCAAACTGGATAGTATTGGACCACTGAGTTAGTTCAGTGCTACTAAGAACAAACAATGGGTTGGGCAAAGTAGTCTAATGATTGACGATAGGCCTTAGATACCGAAAAACACCCATACATACTTGCCAGTCAACAAAAGCTAATTACAACTCAACTAATTACGGAATTCAACTTTTTTAAGTGGTCTTTAGAATAACAATTGTACGACACGTCGTTTGTGTGGTTGTATTGACCTGAACACAAGGTTGATATCGTGTTCGAATAACGTTGCAAACTGTGAAAGTGTCAAAATGGATGTTAAAAAAATCTAGTTTAAGATATTACTCTTATCGCATTTAAGGCTTGTAGAAGTTTATATGGCTTTTATATGCCACATTCACCAAAATTCAAATGCTACTCGTTTAGTAACAAATACAACTGAATGCATTCGTAACCATGCTATTAGTTTATGCGGATAATTATTTACTGCATATTGGGCCTTCTATTGCAGTCGAGTAAGAACGGAAACTAACTGTGTAGAAGCCAATATTTTTCCATTACATATGAGAATTTTGGAAATTATCATCATTTTATGCTGAAGAAAGCCTTTTACTTGATCATGTCGCTCCAACTGACCAAGAATCAATATATTTGCAGACAGCGTCAAATTGTCGACGTTCTGGTGCTTAAAAAATAAAACAACTTTTATACGCTCGAGATCCTCTGTTGATAAACAAAATACGAGCTTTTATGATCCAGCTATATTCGATACATGTTATACCTTAGGAGAAGAAACAAAATTTCAAATCCACTATGAAGTATTCCTAAAAATTCGTTCTCGATCGATGTGTGTGTTACGCTCCAAAACTAATGTAGGCCAACAGGTACAATTCAATCAAAGAAGAGTCGTAGAATACCTCAATCAACTCAAATAAGTCACCATTTAGGTAAAAATTGAACCCCTTTTTTCCTTTGAAATACGTAATAGCGAGCGATGAGACAATCCAGAAAGACTGGAAAAGGATAAAAGCTTTATCTGGCCTATCTAATGCATCTAGTAAATTCCTTGCACAAATCAGTGAGGATGGGAAAGCAATGAACCTCAATCTGGTCGTCTGTGATACTCGTCATCGAATCCGTCTGTCAGACGTTTTAGTCAGCACTGAAGATTAATAGTGAATACGTAGGTTAATTATTTAATATTTCAATACCTTTCTTACCTTGACGCTCACTAACTTGTTGACGTTCCTAAAGTTGAAAGAAAAGCTGAAGCGAAAGGAAAGTGTATTTGTCAGGTGACCGACCTCGCCTTTTCTTCAGTCCAAAGATCGTTTCCGCTGGATTGGTGGTTGCCAAAACAAGTAGCGTTAAAACCAAGACGCAGGGGGGAAAGGTGAGGGGTTATTAGCATGGTCCCTTTCTCATTTACTCGTGTCCCTCCGGAATATGACGCAGTTTTTGATTAATCGTGTCAAGGCTTGGATGCCGCATTTACTTTGGAAAGTAACTCGAGCAATGATATTTTTTTAGCATATGCTTTATCTGAAGTGCGCTTGAAATTATGCTTTTAGTAAAAAAGATAAAAAACAAACAAAAACAAAACAAAAATAACAAGATGAAATTTAAAGTTTTCCCCTGTTATCATCAAGCTAAATGCTCATAAATAATGGTAATAGGACTAAGTGGAGTCCAATTCGGTCTGTAATTATTCTAGTGATTAACAAAAACAAAAGACCGCGAAGCGGGAGTCCGATTTGTCAATGTCGAGTATGATTAAAGATAGATTTTGGCGACACGAAGTCCTGTTAACAATTAATCAAAACTAGGACAAAATTTAAGAAATAATCTAGACATCGATTGTACGTTTTCACAAGAAAGACAAAACCAAAACCAAAACAAAAAAACTCGGTGAAATCTGAGACGACAGCGCGCGCACTTGATGCGTTCTGTCCACCCAGACAGGCATGATTGTTAACTGTCTTTTTACTGTTCTATTACACTGTCCAATTAAAAGGATGTCGGCTAAGTCAACATAATATCTTTGACCAGCAGTGCAGGGTAGAGTTATCAGTTAATGTGCAATGTAAATGGGCTCCCCTGGTCGAATTCCGGCGAATGGGGTGGAGATATCTAAAAAGATTCACGTTACGTCAAATTGTAAGTTATCGATATTTTTGTCGACGGTCGAGTGGTAGGACTCTGAAAATCTTGAACACTTTGATTTGATTCCGACAGGTCAATGCTGCAATAGAATTCTTAAAAAATTCAAAACCGCAAACTAATTACCATCACTGATTGCGGCATAATAATCTTATGCCTCATTTGTTTTCTACTCGGAAAACGACACCTGGTAGACCTTTATATTGTTCATGGTTTTCCGAGTCATGAAATCATTTGTAAATTCTCTCCATCAGTTAACACGGATGGAGGTATTCCTTCACACAGTGTAGTAATAATTTTATTGAAAAACTCATCTTCGAAGGTTAAGCATCACCTTTAATTCAATTTAAGGTTAGAAAAACATTACAATACAATAAATTGTATTTAACTTGCAAATAGTTTTTTCACTGACTGAGATATTCTTTTTTGAATACTTATGCGTATATTTACTAGAAAATCGGTCGTCTAACTTATTGTCGAAAACGTTGCAGAGTTTAAGGGATCGCATATTTTCTGAGAGAATGGAGAGGGGTGGGTCTTTGGAATACTACAAAGCCTTAAGGGAGGGCCGGAAAAATTTATTTTGAGACAACCAAAATCTTCTAACCCTTCCCCTGTTACTGCCTAATCCTATCCTTAACTTTTTCCGAGTTCAGCCTAGCTCAAGGGAAATATCATGGAAAATCTTATTTGAAGATTAAAAAACATCCATCTTATATATTAAAAAATCTCAAAACAAAAACAAAAACTATTCTCTAAATCCTGCTTGTTCTTTTTCGATCTCGAAGTCACAATGTTCAATGTTCAGAGGGATACGCCTGGTGGTGCGTGAACCTCTCAGGCAAAGTAAGGCGAACCTTAGTAGAGCGAAGGACACTTTTGAACGTATCCATGAAATCGTTGTGCGGTACTCCTCTCTTTTCTTAATAGATATGAGTTCCGCTAATCTACTGTGTAAACGCTTGCATTCGTCTGCCATGCCTCCGGTAGTATTGAAGACTAAAGGTGTAAAAGTCCCTCGTTCAACTTCCAAAACCCTGTTCGCGTATAACCTCTTCTTCTCATCTTCATGTTTGCGATAAATCTGCTGAATGTTGAGATCTTTGTAAGACTCTGCGTTTGGGTGAGAAACCCTTACGTCGAAAAAGGCAGAGCCTTGCCTATCCCAAAACCCACGAGAGTGAACATCCAATCGGGCATCCGGTGGTGGGTTCGTACCCCTCGTCAGCACTTCTCCCGTTATCTCCTGGCGAACGGGTTCCACTTGCACATCGTG